AGCCCAAGCTCAAGTACAGCCGCCTGACAAGGGACTTGGGGCCCGTCTACCGCAATGGCGACGCGACAGCTACCTTCATGGTCGCGGGGGACAAGATGGTACGATCATAGCTCCATGCTTCACGCCCACGACAGGTGCACGCTGCCGAGTGAATGCTAAGATTGTACCTAGATAGTAGGAACCCACAATGGCAACATACATGCGCTGAGCATACCCTCGTTCCAAGTCCTCCGAACCTACAACGCGCATCCTGCTGCTTCCGTCACCGCACTCTCCGTATCGCCTCTACTAGCTTCCCAGCCCTTCGTACCTACAGCTTCAGACCTCCGCTCAGCAGACCAGACCAATGCATCGACCAGACGAACCGATTCTCCAGCAGGCAATGCATCCTCACCTCGGACGCCGCGTCAGGCCCAAGTGCCATTGACACCTTCCAATCAGATTTACATAGCTTCGTCATCTATCGATGGGCACGTATGTGTGTCTTCACTCATCGACCCCAAGGATGTCACGCTACGCAACTTTGGTCGCCCTGTACAGGCGGTGGCGCTGTCGCCTGACTACAAGAACGACCGCTCATACCTATCGGGAGGCTTGGCTGGCGAGCTTATCCACACAGTCGGAGGTCCAACGGGTGTGCGTTCCAATGCCAACACCAGCTCAGCATCGCAGACAGCTCAAGGATGGCTTGGAGCGATAGGACTAGGCGGGCACAGTGGAAAAGATACCGTTCTGCATGCAGGAGAAGGTACTATAACCGCCATCAAATGGTCTCTTTCTGGCAAATTTGTAGCCTGGTCCAATGAGCACGGCATTCGCATCATGCGCACCGATCTTCACCTCGATAGCGCTGAGTCCGAATATGCCTGGAAGAGGATTGGTTTCATCGAAAAGCCGAACCGTCGAATATGGCAAGAGATGGCTGGTGTGTGGAAGGCGCGCATAGAGTGGATTGACGATCGATCGCTTGAGTCTGACGACGATGCGATATTGAGCATGAACGGACATCACCTTGCCGATAAACCCGAGGCCACCTTACCACACAACCGCTCACCCCAGGCCACCAAGGACGCGAAGCCTCCGAAGAAGTTCGAAAAGCTCATCATAGGATGGGGGGATGCCGCATGGGTCGTTCACATACAGCCAGGTGGAGCTGGCGTCGGCCGCAACGTCGGTGAGAGATCGATCGGAAGCGCCGAGGTGGTCCATTTGTGCGTCCCTTTTCTCCTACTACCTACGTCTTGCTAACTAGATCTAGCCTTCGTTTCGACGACTGTATTGTTTCTGGCATTTCGCTCTATACCCCTTCTTTGCTTCTTGTTCTTGCATACCGGACACGCGACGACGATGACAATCCAGTCTCTGGGCCCGACACAACTCCCAGAGGGGGGCGACACCGTCGCACAAACGGTCTTTCTCCTGAGCTCAAACTCATTGATGCCGCGACCTCGGACGAGGTTGAAGTTGACTCTCTGACCGTCAGCCGATTCGAAAGCTTATCTGCTGCGGACTATCATTTGGGCACGCTGTATGTGCCACACCCCAAGACGATGACACCTGCACAAAGAAGTGCACTGGAAGCCATTGGTGGCGGGATATGGGATGTTGGCGCTGCTACCGCTCGCATATTCAGCTCTGGGGCAAGTGTGATGAACCTTCCCATCGGTTCTGATAAGCCGCCGTCGAGAGCGCCTTCCATGTCATCAGCAAGCGCTGGAAATGCTGCTGGCTCAATATCGGGCAAGCGCCAACAACAGGCACACCCAAACGCTGCAACCGCGGGTTTGAAGGTCTTCATACAGAGCCCCTATGACTGTGTACTGGCCATAAAACGAGAGCTGTCTGATCACTTCCAATGGGAACTCGAGCATGAAAACTACAAAGATGCGTGGGAGCTTCTGGAGGACCATCCCGAGATCATCGCGTCCGTGTCCCAGGCATCGTCAGACGGCTCAGATGCAGGTACCCCAACAAAGCAGCAGGGAAGCTTACACGAGTTCTTTGCCGATGACAGCGAATCTCAAACGACGCTGTCTGCTACAAAGGCGAACCAAAATTCTGCAGTCGAAAAAGAGAAGCGTCGTATTGGAGACCTCTGGGTACAACAGCTTGTTAGCGCTGGCGAATGGAAACAGGCAGGCAAAGTTGCTGGTCGCGTACTCGGCACCTCCACACGATGGGAACATTGGGTGTGGAAGTTTGCACAAACGAACCACTTCAACGAAATCTCACCTTATGTTCCAAAGAAGCCCATACAACCTCCACTACCTTCAATGGTATACGAAGTGATACTGGGCCACTACATCATACATGATCGCATACGCTTCAAGCATTTGCTCGAAGATTGGGATCCTGACCTGTTCGACATCAACAGTGTTATTGAGGCAATCAAGAGCAAACTCTCTGCCGGCGACGTCACGGAGGATTCTATCGAGGGCGACATACAAGGTCGAGACTGGCGGATATTGCAAGACGGTCTTGCGAAATTGTTCCTTGCCAGTGGTAGGCAAAGAGAGGCGCTACGCTGCTACATCCGCTTGCAAAATGCGGAAGCAGCAATGACTCTAATACGAGACTTTCACCTTGTAGAAGCCGTACGCGACGATATCCCGGGCTTCATCATGATGGGCGTCTCGAAAGAACAGATGAAGTCTGCGTCCACGAAATTAGAGGAGCTAGAAGAAGCGTCAGCGGAAGCCATCGACGTTCTCGTAGAGGAGGGCTGCCGGGGCACCATTCCCGCAAGTGACGTTGAAAGCCAACTGCAAGCGAAAGGCCCGTCGTTCAGACCATTCCTACACTTCTACCTACGAAAACTCTGGAAGCCAGAAACGCATGAGCGAACAGCCAAGACAGCTAAAGAGAGAGTGGCTGAGGATCGTCTAGCAGCCGACGGGAAGCTCGTTGCAGAAGAATTCGCGGATCTCATGGTGGAATTGTTCGCAGAGTACGATCGACCGCTGTTGATGGAGTACCTGCGCAAATCTCAAAGTTTTGATTTGAGCAAAGCTACCGCGGAGTGCGAGAGAAGAGAGTACACTCCAGAACTTGTGTAAGTCATTGGCTGTTGGCGCTACATCACTTTCCACGTTTGCTAACCTACTGTAGGCACATCCTCTCCAAGACCGGTCAAACCAAACGTGCTCTTTATCTGATCATTGAGAAGCTCTCCGACGTTAGCTTCGCTATTTCGTTCGCTAAAGAGCAAGATGATCCCGATCTTTGGAACGACTTGCTGGATTTTTCTATGGATAAGCCCCACTTCATCCGCGGTTTGCTTGAAGAGGTCGGAACAGCAATCGATCCAATCAAGCTCGTCCGCCGTATCCCTGAAGGCCTGGAAATCGAAGGGCTAAGGGATGGCATTGGTCGCATGGTGCGTGAGTATGAAATCCAACACTCTATATCAGAAGGTGTCGCAAGAGTCCTCCGGGGCGAGGTAGCAGCCGGTATGGACACGTTGCGTGCCGGTCAGAAACGGGGTGTCAAGTTCGAAGTCATGCCCTGTGACGGCGCGGGCCACGAAAAGCATCGCCATGCAAAAGGGCAGATCGACATTGAGTCTAAAGGCATCGACCCAGTCTCCGCGGCAAAGGCTACGGCTAAGGCAGACAAGAAGACTACTGCGGCATCTTCCACAACTAACGCACCGAACATCGACCCCGCCCCCACGGAAGCTCCTCAAGGCGAGGCACCGCCTGGCCATTGTGTAGGCTGCCACCGTCCTTTCACGCTTCCTACTGCCGAAGAAGAGACCGCCACCGTTGAGGGTGGCCCTATGCCATTGTCTCGCGACACGCTCGTGGGCTTTGCATGTGGTCACGTTTTCCACCTCACCTGCCTACTACCCAAGACAAGTGCCAGTGCCAGTGTTGCAGCTGGTCTACAACAGCAGCTCGCCACCGATGCCCAGGAAAGTGGTGGTAGATGGACAAGGAGTGTAGGCGCAAAGGTAGCGCATGCTCATGTCATCAAGAGTGCAGTTGGCCGGGGGTGTGTAGTATGTCGCGAGAAGGAAGTAGTCAGTGAAGAATGAAGATGATAGATGGTTGGATTGCTCGAGGCGGTGTATATATTAGAGATATTTGGACATTTGGACAGTACGGATGTGTACTGGGGTGAACCACATACTGTAACATTATATGACAAGTGATAGGCTTACGAGCGGAGCATTGCATTGAAGGCGTCGGAAGCCACTCACACGACTACGTATGTATGGGAATGTTGAATCAGCGTCCAATCAAACTGGGTTTCGACATTGTAATTCTGCCTGCTCTGCTGCTATCAGTCATTTTTGTTCGTCTTTTTGGGAAGTTTTGTCACATGGATCGATGGCTGCGCTACCATGGGCAAAGGGCGTGGAAGAGCACAAAGCTAGCCAGATGTCTCATAGTCCTACTCGACGATGTTTCCTGAAAAGGAGTGTTGGAAGAAGCTGTTGAAGACGGCGAGAAGGGCGCAGTGACATGCATGAGGGTGAGGGGTATGGAAGGGCGCGCACTTGACATCCTATCAGTATTACCAAATTCACGTGATGGACATTCTATCTGAACTGCACATCCGTGGATATATGGCTCCACATAGGTTGGAGATACTCTCACACACAACGGTCAACTTGGTAGAGTACGGACGATGGCATGCCCGCACGATAAGCGGGGTTGAGCCTATCAGATGCAGGGTGAAGCTCAGCGTCGCATTTTTTTCTGTCTTCAACTTCACACAAATGCTGCAACGATCACCAGAGCTCGATTGTGAAGAAGCACTCCATCGCGCTCACGACTTGGGGTTGTTCCAAGGTTACTGCCAGCGCATGTGTAACAACAGACTACCCTATACCCAAAGGAGTATCGGTGACGCACTAGCTAACGCCGGTGAATCTCCGGATGGTCAGTTGTTCGCATCAACACTCCAACAACCTCCCGTTTGCGCCTCTCTGCACAGCCCTCCGCAGCCTTCATCGCTGGAGAGGATGATTTTGGCAAGAGACCCGCGACTACGACATGGCATTTGAGGTGTCGTATGATCTCGAGAATGAGCAACAATTCTGGGATGGTGAGCGTGCCTGGCAACCCCACCAACAGCAGCCTCGACTAACACGCTACACAGAACTCGACGATATAGTCTCGACGCGCTGTCACCAGCACGACATTATCGACAACTCCCTCCGATCCTTCCTTAATGTTACCACCAACTATAGATGTACGCATCTCCGACCTCTGCCATGACCAGTGTTGACCACGATTAGCCGAATACCTCCAAACCGATTTCAGCGTTGCCAAATGCATATTTCGCATGCTCGAGGGCGAACTCTTCGCTTCCAACAAGGAATATGTGCGGCGGCAGATAATATATTGCCTCTTGCAGGTACGTTGGCGCATACCTTGGCCTCTGGCCGCTGGCTGAGCAAGGCTGACGAACATGATAGGAAGACGATAACCCTACTCTCCACATAGTCGCCGCATTCCTCCTATACGATGGCCGCAATAGCAAAGATGACGACATCTTTGACATGATGCACTCGGAGGGCACATTTGCTAGACTTGTTGAGTTGGTACAGACGCAGAGCGTGCAGGAGGAGACTACCGTGCATCAACTACTCCTCCAACTGCTTTACGAATCTTCACGAGTTCAACGATTGACGTGGGACGACTTCGGTATGGCAACAACATAACTAGTTTTCCTCTCCCCCAGAGCGACTGCTGACCCTGGATGTGTAGCGGCGGTGAATGACGCGTTCATCCTCTACCTGTTGGAGATCATAGAAGGTGCCTCTGATGATGCTGATGACCCTTATCACTATCCTGTGATACGTGTTTTGGTACGTCTGCAGACATATTCCATCGACTATTAGCTGACACTGAGACAGCTGGTTTTGAACGAGCAGTACCTTGTGGCCTCCACTAGCCGTCATACCGACGGCCGGCCTGGCATAACGAACAGGGTCATCAAAGCTATCTCGACGCATGGCTTGACATACAAGACTTTCGGATGCAATCTGATTCTCCTTCTGAACAGGGAGTCGGAGACATCCCTTCAGCTTCTAATTCTCAAAGTGCTTTATCTTCTGTTCGGCAACCCTTCTACTGCCGAATACTTTTATACCAACGATCTTCATGTCTTGGTCGATGTCATTCTCCGGAACCTCATAGATCTACCCCACGACTCAGCCGCGGCAAATGCATTACGACATACCTACCTCCGAGTTCTACACCCCATTCTTATGCACAGCCAGATCAGCAAGCCACCTCACTATAAGCGTGACGAGCTACTGCGGCTCCTTCATCTACTTGTCACCAGCGGCAACCATTTTGCACCCGTTGATGAGACTACCGTGCGACTTGTGAACCGATGCACCAGTGTGCACTGGTTACAGCCTCCAGCTGCTGCCGCTGGGGACGGCTCGGCCAACGGTCATAGTACCACACAGTCTCCAGTTGACCATGTGGCGAGTGGTCAAAAAGAGTACGCGCGACGAGCGCTGGGCATGACCGTGCAAGGTAGCAGCGAGAGTTCTACGAGCGTCTTGGAAATTGCAGGCCACACTGCGCAACCTGGTGTACAAACGCCGAGTATGTCGAAGGTGGCGCAGTAACACATTAGAATGTTCGGGGGCTTTGTTAAGCGACAGGCGTCTTGCAGTCATCATTACTGGTTACGTGGAGTCTGGAAATGTCCTTATCAGCGATTACAGATATCCACACATCAGTGGGGGCCTTTGCATACTTGCATGGACGGAGTCTGGGCATGTCTAGCGTTCTGTCACTGATCATGTATCTGGTTTCACTTTACGATCACATCGATGTCGTCGGGTGACGCGTCGCTATCTTCGATCTTGCTTGTCTCTAATGTATGTCATCAAACTGCTGTCATCTCCATCTACGTGATTGACGTAGCGCTTGAACAAGCAGATTGAAGTCTTGGTCGTGAGTCCTGAGCCACAGATTCCGTATAGCCAAGCAGCGATTCACGATTTAACTGTACATGCGCATCCAGACGCTTCACCGTCATATGACTGTTTCTAGCCCAAATGCGAATCCGATCTAGACTATAAATCTGTCCTCACTATACCGATCGGCATTGCGCAATGCAGCCAAGCTTGCCGCGCTACTTGGTATATGTACATCGACATCATGTACCTGCTCCCGAAACAGGAGACATCAAATGCCACCAACCACCTTCACGCATCAATATCTCTGGTGCGACGACCACGCACGGCGTAGTGCCTACCGGATACAGATTTCGCGCCGATGCCAATCTAATCATGTACCTTGGAGACCCTGGGCCCCGCTCTCACCGCAGGATGAGGTGCCGCGACAAGACGAGCGGATTGCTTGGCCTCCCGCTATATAGATGAGCCACAGCCGCTGCAAGTGCAATGCCAAGACTGTGAAGGAAGGTCAAGACGGAACGAGGGAATTCTGCATCGCTTGTTTGGGCTAAGGCTTGCTTGTTGTCTATCCTCGAGGGGGGCATGTACTTCTCGGCTTGGGCATTCCGGTGGTAGCTCAGCAGGTGTATCATTGTGGAGGTCCATCAGAGCCGCTCTTCTGGGACAAGTCTTGGAAGTTGTGCTAGACTTGTTACGACTTTGGGAATCTGGTTCGCTTTCCATTCTACCGAAATGCCAAGAACGTAGACGACCGCATCGAAATGGCATCGACGTTGATCAGCAGCATACTAGACTACCCCAGAGATGCTAACATGACTCTCATCTCTTCCCCAGATGCGTTGGTGGTCAGTGTGACTTCCGCTCAAAGCGCCACGGCCATGTAACTACCCCGATTTTCCCCCGTTACATCGCCCGCCATGGCACGCATCTTGTGTTCCACAGCAAAAGCTCTCTCATCCCGTTTGGGACTCTACTAATTCTGTGTTTTCCGGCTATCTGTTCGGGTAACATTGCACGCGTCCGCCGAACGTACCAGATTCACAAACAACTGTGGAACCAGCGCAGCGTACAGATGACCACACCTCCCAGCATACCCATTACGAACCAAATCATCCAATATCGTGGTCCCCAAGTGCCAAGATACCGGAATCTCGGCCCATGCGTTTCGACCGCAAGATCAAAAGGTGGATGCGATAAGTGCGGTAATGCAGGGATGGTCTTAATCATCCCAAGATATTGAGGCTGGTCTTCAGCCTCCCACCTGGCATCTGACTAGTGCTTCTTTGATGCGAGATGGAATGCAAGTGATGGAATAATACTGCTATGGGTAAATATTGCGCATATGCGCAAGGTTTTACCGGCACCCCACAGGCATCTGCTCCTTGCTGCAACGAAGCAATGCCTTGAACCTGGGCGTTGGCACTCTGGGTGGGCTTGCGTGCATTCCATTCTTGGGCTGACGACGTCGGTGTTCCTCTCCGTTCTGTTCCGAGACGAGACATCAGTGGCCTACGAACACGGGTGTAAGCATGTGCACATTGCCAATATACCGTCTCCAGTCTTTTGAGTACCTGAGATACTACACATTCCTTAGCAGGACGAAGAATGTGTGGCCTTGCGTCGTCCCAAGACCCGGTCTCGACCACGGAACTCGAGCGCTGCCAACGAAAAGGTTCGATGTTTGGCTATGTGTCACCACCTCAACGTTCGGTACCACAGAAACGTCAGGAACCGGCCATTGTTCTCGAAGCACAAGATCGCCTGGCCAGAATTTGCGCATAGATGCTGAAAGCTACTACAGCGCATCGCGGGCTTTGTCGATCGATTGCTGCCATTCCGATGCAGTGGTAGACCAAAGGTGGCTGAGTACATTCACGACACACCACGCCAACGAGAATGCGACACGTCCATGTATGTCATCAAGGAGAATTAGGCACCGGCCCAGCTGCCTTTCCCAAGAAGACATAGTACGCTAACACTGCCTTCGAAGCAACACTAACGAAGTCGTACATGAGCGCTTCTAAACCTTCGCACCGCGGAACTTACTCCTTCGAAAATGCGAAACGCAGCTTCTGCACATCGATCAAGTTCCAGATTGCGATCTTCACAGAACCGGGATCTACAGGACGTGCTTTTGCGGAAGTTCAAACTGCCGAGCCGGAACAGTGATCAATTTGAACCATTGCGACGGGACTTGATGATGAACTCGTGATGTGTGCACGTAATTTGAGGGGTTTATCTTGTCCGTGGGGCGCTTACAGCGTGGCAGCCCAAATGTGACGGAATGGAATGGTGTGGAAACTTGAGCAAGTGGAGCGGTGAAGGACCGCGCGGGACATCTGGATTCTCGGAAGCAGGCGGCGCGCTCTTTCTAGAGTAACATGTCCAGACGATGTATCACAATCGATGATGAGAGTCAAAGTTGAAAATCATGGTTTTGGTTCTATGCGTTATAGCTCGTAAACTGATGCTCAACCCTGATCGAGGGAGCTCCCTGCGCCTACGTTTGCCTTGGATCGTAATTCAAGACGGAAAGTTTTGGTCGGTGGGAACCCTCGATGTCCTCTGTGAAGAAAGTCTAGCAGAAAATAGTACCGAAAGCGGCTGAACATGTATTGAGCCCAAAGCAAGAAATGAAGAACCCTTTCGCGCTAAGACGAATGTAAAGCAGTCATAACCTCGTTAGGTGATGCTCCAGACGCCTTGCAGAAAACACAAACAAGGAAATAACACAAATATCAAGCCACCGAGTATAGGGGAAGCTGCTAAACCATCCTGCCAGCATCATTTTGGGTGTCAGAAGAAGTACGCAGTGAGCCTGCGTTGCTGGGCACTCGGGTAGGGGCCTGTGATAGAGGGTCAGGTGAATTGGGGTCACTGGCCCTGCGCTTCTCGGTTGTCTCAGCTTTACTCAGTCTGCGCGCGATTGCCTCCTTCGCATGTTCGCCGTTGTCGCATGGTAGATACCACCGGGATACGGCCATGCAGATACATGAGAGCATCAGGTTGGCACCGGACCACATCTGGACGGTGATGTAGGTGTTGTATTGTGTGATGAGATGACCAGCAATGACGGGACCGGCGAGAGCTGGGATGGCAGCAAATGTGTACATCATACCAGTCCAGTGACCAAGCTTCTTCTTTGCGAAGTGAGTAGTGCCAGGCGCGGTGTAGGAGCAGTTGAGAATGTTGCCGATGGACGCAGGAGGAAGGCCGATAACCATGCCGGAGAAGATACCGAAGACGACGCAGAAGGCAATAGCATCGGTCTCTGATCCAGCTAGTGTCCAGAGAACCAGTGTGAGCATAGATGCGGTGAACTGGGAGCCGATGTGCATGTTGAGGGCGCCGACCTTGTCCGAGAAGTGAGCGAGGAGCATCCGTCCGACAGTCGAAGCTCCGTTCATGATGACTAGGAGCCAGAAGGTTTGAAGGGGTTTGTCGGTCGTGTCGGCAGGGCTTACTGATGAGCCGGTACGGTCGCGGGTGCCAAAGCCACGCACTGATGCCCACTACACATTGTTAGCTACAAGCATGAGAAACAGTGTAGGAATACTGACCTCTTCAAGGTTGAAGAAGACTGGGTAGAAACCAAAGAACATAAAGGCCACGGCTGCAGTGAACCAGCACCAAGCCTTGTTCTTGAAGGCCTCGGTATCGAACCAAGTCCTCAGCTTGCCCCAACTCTTCGGCTCGTGGTGCTCGTGGGCTGGGTCTGGAGTGCAGAAGATGAAAGAGTAGATGCAGGTCACTGAGGTGAGAGTCGCGACATAGCGTACTGCATTGTTGAAACCGACCGATTGAATCAGGAAGCGGAGCATGCTGGGGTAGATCACGCCTGCTACACTGGCACCGCAGGCGACATAGCCTACAGCTAGACCTCTGCGCTTGGGAAACCATGTTGAAGCAACTGGGAGAGAGTCAGTACAGGCAATTCACGGGATCAATCACCACTCACCTTGAGAGCTGGAGACAAAGAAGGTTCCCATGCCCAAGCCCACTACGAGGCCTTGGGTTGCCCAGATTGGACCGAAGCTTCCAATGGCCTCAACATCGCTGGGGTGTGCGACAGAGAGCATGAAAAGCCCAAAGGGCACAAGGAAAGTGCCACAGCCGATGACTTTGCGTGAGTGCCCCGCATCCAAGAGGCGTCCAACGACGTTGGAAAGCAGGAGCACAATGAAGGACTGAGTCGATCCGATCAGGTTCAGTTCGAGCTGGTCAACACCTCGCAGTGAGTGGCCCACATAGTACGAAGACCACGTGCCGTAGGCGTTGACAAGACCCCACGAGTTGAACATGAGAAAGAAGCAGCCCAGCAGACAGGCATAGGCACGCCATGACTGCGGCCAGTTGGGTTCGTCAAGTGTGTCAACACTGGCATGTCGGGATTCGTCTCGCATCGAATTGGTCGCAGTTGGTGCTTCGGAGAGTGGCAGCGTTCCTTCGCTGTACTGCCGACTCTCCTTGTATGAAGATTTGGTAGGTGGCATGTTGGCGGTGTTTACTGAAGGTGCGGGCCGTGAGGTGAAGGTGGAAGGAGCGATCAGTTATCTGAAAAGGTGTTTGACGATGACGCGATAAGATGCTCAACACGGATAGCACGTGTTGGAGGGGAAGCGCTCAAATGGACGCACTGGTGAAAAGGTACGGAAACGATCAACTGTCAAAGCGGCGGAGATGAGGGTATAAGTACGGTACTCATGTGGAAGCAGGCATGGGATATGGGGAACGAGCCCAAGGCTTAGATTGATAGAGGGTTCTTTTACGGCTCCACTTCGTTAAGCACGCGCGTAACCCCCATGTAGAATGTGGCTGGCTCCTCCCATAGTGACGTGGTAGTCAAACGGGTCGTGTAATGGGGCAATGGCAGTAGCAACGCACAAGCAACGCAAGGGTGCAAGCCCAAGAGAAGCCAAGGCAATACGGGCGTCTGAACTCCGCCGGCAGCAGGGTATACTTCATTACTCTGTTAGATGGTTCAAATGCCCGGCGGCCCAAAGGTTTAGTGCGCCGCGTTAATCCGGTGTGAGAGCGATCGGCGGTCGTGGATTCTCCGGAGCATCTCGCGTTTGGACTTCCCCACGCTTACTCGTTGTCGTGAAAACATGCCAACCATGCCGGCTCCAAGGGAGGCATGCTTTGTCTCTAGTGACCTCATTTGTTACAAAGCTGGGCATCGCCACCCCTTCTTCCTCAACGTGCGTAACAACAAACGGGATTGGAACGCACTGGGCAAGACTACCACGGTACGTAGACGCCGCATGCCCTATCCCACAAGCGCGTGTGCGGATGTCGAGATTGCTCATAGGCTGTGCGTTCTTGGCTTGTTCCACCAAAACGAAGTTGCCGGTGGGCATAGACATCTGGTAGGCGATTATAGGGGTTGAGGCGCCTGACAAGGTTGGGTGAAATAGCGGAGCGGGCCCTCGACCCTTGGCGTAGTATCAGCGGGCGAGATGTGATGAGTGATGAGGCTCGATTGGGTCGGCATGCCAAGAATGTGCTCGAGTAGTGATGTACGAATTCCGCCTTGGCCGGCCCAGTTATATTGCAAGGGTCAAGAATGAGTACTCTCGCGGTGACACCGCTGAGGATGCTACGACTCTGGGCAGTCTCTCCAGCAGAGCGGATGCAACAGCCGACGGTCTGAGTGAAAGCGCGCAAGCCGGTCCAGAATATCGGCGTTGCAAGCTCGGCGACACTGCCGACGAGGGTTGAGTGTTAGGCGCAACATGTCGAGTACATGACAGGCAAGTCGCGCTAAAGTTGGCAGTGTAACAAGATCAGCGGGCCGGTGCGGTTCGTTGCTTCGTTATCTTGAGTTTCAACACAGCCACAACCGCTTCAGAGGTATGCCCAGGGATCGACGGCTAGGGCGTTTTGCCAAGTATCAACACCCACGCTGGCTTCGATGCTTGCTTCTTCCCGCCGCCGCGATGAAGCCGTATCATATTGAGAGGGTTATCAGACAGTGCGGGTGTGGCTGCAGCAAACTCGTCACCGTGCCTTGCGATGACTCGTTTCAGCCACGCGCAACTGTCGGCGCGAATGGCCGCTGGGGTGCATTTTCTGTTGACAGACGACGCGCGGAGGGTGGATTCGAACGTTCCGAAAGAGCATAGATGGAGTTGGGGTAAAGAAGCGGAGGAGGAGTCAGGACTGGGGATCAGCGACGCTACCTCCAGAGAGTTTGCTCTGCCAAGCCAGGTGTCGGCCGTGGCAATTACGCGTTCTGGCAACCCTCGCCCAGCATCGACCCGATCCAGCGTCGAGACGAGCCCCAGGCACTATTTCTAATCAGATCTGGAAACAAATCCAAGCCCGACATCTTCCTAGGTCTGTGCAGATCTCCCCTGTCGGGAGGTGCCCAAGAGCCGAGAAGAAACAAAGAAGCATCCCGCGCAGAGCTGCGCTGCACGTTACGCAAACAACAACGACAAAAGACAATGTTATCTCGTCTCAGACTTCTTAGTCGCGTGGTTTGCTAAACGTCCGATGTGCATTTTGCCACGGGAGCGGTCAATTGGTAGCTTCACTCCGCTGTGACGGCTAGTTTCTTGTAATGATGGCGAGGTCCATGCTGAGTTCCCGCGGACTCCATCAGCTACGTCAGGCGCGTTCCACAAAAGGCCCATGGGGACGCGGACTTTCGAAAACCGGGGACTTCTTTAACGTTCTCACGAAGTTCTTCCGGAGCCGGACGTTGAGCAGTGGATATCGTCATGCGTAGTACTCTGCCGTGTCACTACATGGTGCCGCAGTCTCTCCGCACAGCGTCCCCATGTCATGATTCAGCTGTCGAGGGTTGGTTGACCTTCTGGGTTGGTTGGATAAGGCATCCGCGTCTCGTCCGATAAGCAGCTTTGACAGCGGCTGCGGCGTTAGGCTTCGATCGCAGCTTCACGGGTAGATACTCGGGGGTTCCAACAGGTTCTGACTGCCGACAGTCTTCGCCTGGTGTTGTCAGCGACGGCCGAACATGCTGGGTCGCTACCCAGGTACCGCACGGTGATGGTTTTGCGGAAGCGCGCTCATCCGGAGTCTCATTCAACAATCGACAATTCAATGAGCTGGGATCAGCTCTCGACAATCTCGTGTCCATACTCTAATCTGACAGAATCCATTATCTGGAATCCATTAGTCCATGTTTTGTTCGGTGCGGGCCAGCAGTCAGGCTCCCGGTACTTCCACTGTGCATAGTGACGCCAAGCCCTCCACTGAAACGAAAACTCACTCAGAAAATATTCCTGTCCACTCCTCTCTTCCGAACCACCCACAATCCAGCCCCTGAAAGTCTGTTTTGGATGCTCAGCGATAGCGCTGTGGAAAAAACAAGCAAATACGAGCGGAACGCCACGGCGAACGAAGGGAACGAATCCTTGTGGCGGCATGCAGTTTCCGTGTGTCAACGTCAGGCCACTTGGAGAACCAAGTCCGAGACGCGATCCCGCACCCACAAAGTCGCAGATTCGAAGCGAGGACCACCAGGGCGGAGCGGAGAGCGGAACGTGATAAAATGAAGAAGAGATGATGTTGCGATACCTGCCTCAGATCATTCTTGTCATCTGCTGGGCACAACTGGGCAGGGCCGAATCGCCACGTTGTTAGAGCTCCGACAGCTGCTCCGTCTTGGAAACGACAAGACGGCACCCAAGGCCGACAGCCGCCGCATTCCATGTCGAACACCAGTTCGAGTCGAGCCGCCACACATAGCGGGCGTCGAGGCGGAGCGGAAAGCCCAGCGCCGCTCGTGGCGTTGAGTTTCGAGTCGCGCGAAAAGGGGTTTCATGCGGCACGAATCCACGACTCGCAAACATGTAATATTCGGGCACACATGTCAGCGCAGAAGATGTCTGAGCAGTGTGCAGAGGCCTTGGGTTGGGCACTGTCGTGCTTTTCTTCCAAGACTTGGTACCTAAGGCAGCTCAATGCGGCGGGCAACAAGCAAGGAGCGTCAGGCATGCCCATGGCTATGGTGTCAGAGCGCAGTCCCCGAGAGTACCGCGAGATCCATACGGGCACAATAAACTCAATCTTGGGTTCATCAAAAGGTACCCTCAGGTAGGTGCGTCCGCGGCGCAATCAAACGTCCCGGGGGTAAGCATGGTGTCTCTACGAGACCAGCAACTGAAAACCAACACCTAGTCGGCATTCAGCACCAAATGTGACAACAATAAAATCCCACCGTAGATTATATCAGAAGTCAGCTAAGGCAGGCAATGTCTGCTGGGAGGCCTATCGTAATATACGCCAGGTAAGGGAGGCTCCTTCAAGGGCAATGAGAAGTCGCAAATCCGTGACTAGTGTCCTCTTTCCTTCAAATCAATAGTCTTTTCCTACGTCTTCGCCGAGTCCGTTTTTCTCATCTCATAGCGACCTGCAGTCATGTTTTCGCGTACTCAGACACACTCACGCCACCTTCGGGCAAATCCGAGCCAACTCACAATGTTGCCGTTCTCTCCGGGCGAAACCGCTAACAAGTCCAGAGACTATCGGAGTCAATCTGCTTCTTCACGATATCCACATCCATCGCCTATCCGAGCATTATACGTGGATATGGACAGCACATACCTAGCAATACGTTCGGAGTTGCACGTGTGCAAGTACGCAGGGTCGAATGAAAGGTGTTGAGGGGACCCGAAACATCGCCGACCGACGCGCGTATGATTACTTGAGGAAAACAAGACGCTGACAAAACGGCCAGAAAAGCCGCGATTTGACCAAGAGTGCGCTCTGAAGACAGAGTGAGCTTTGGTGGATATGTAGGTTAGGTGCGTAATTCCATCCTGCCACACAATCTATTTCACGACGTATTTGTCTTCACGTTTGGTCGTTGTCTTATCATCACGTTGCTACATTAGAGAAGCTTCAGATGAATTCCACGTTCAAGTTATGGAGTGGTGAATTCGCGAGACCATGTTGCGTTCACTTCACCAACCAGGATGCCGTTGTAACAAGAACGAAATACATATTGATAGAATGGAATCTAGCACACCACGTCGCCAGTGGAAGTCTTCATGTAGAACGGCTGTCATTGCTCTAGCTATAAATACAGTTCGCTAGACGCTACCTTCAAAACGCCATGCTCCGGGGATCAAAGATTACTATGCCATGTTTGCAATCAAGAAGAGCAAGAATAAAAAGACAAACCCCCCAGTGCCATTGGTTCGGCGCATGGAGGCAGAGCTGCAGATGGCCCATGACCAAATCGCTCGAGGTAGAGTCATGACCAGGCGTGCGCCGTGACTCAAACGCCCTTGATAGCAACGGTGCGCTCGCTGTTCAGCTTATCCGCATTCCGGTCGTGGCTCTCCTTCTTGCAGTCCTCGAGTCCGACACACTTGTGGTCCTCGAGCATGCGATGACGGCTGCAGTGTCGGCCTTCGCAGAAGCCGCAGTCGCCGACGATGGGCTGGGCGCGGTCCTTGCAGTCCTTGAAGGAGCAGCGGACCTTCTTGGGGGGCATTCCGCCGCGCAGAGGGAGGGCGAG